ATACTTTATTTATTATAACTTGTTTACTTCCAAGAATTATATTAACTTTATCAGCACTATTAATTATTTAAATGCTCTTTTCTGTGACTCCAGTTATCTTTATGTTACTATTATTATTCCATGATTTTATTAAAAAACTTTTAAATATTGTTATATTACTTCCTGTATCTATTAAAGCACGAGTTGTTATATTTGTTTCTACAATAGTAAATTGTATATACACAGCTAATGAAAAACTTATCTGATTATTCATCTAATTCTTTTTACATAATATAGTTTGTTCATTATGAACAATATATAATTATTTTCTTTTTATACCATAATTTTCTAATCCATTTAGAAAACTCATTTCTAAAAGTATATGGGGGGTTTATATCCATACTATTATCTATGTAACATGATACTAAAAGATTTATTTCTCCTATTTTTATTAGTACCTTAACTTCTAAATCTGTAATGTGTACTTGTCCATCAAAATTTACACACTTATATGGCTCAGTTTTATGAGTTACTAAACCTTTATTTCTAATCGAAACTATATTCTCCTTCTATTTTCATATTTCCAGCATTTCTATATAATTTTACTTCTTTTATTTTGTTGATTTCTTCTAACTGGTTTTTATTAGGTATTTTAAAACTTTTTGATCTTTTAATTAATTTTCTATCCTTAAATATTATATTTTTAGAACATTCTCTTTCATTTAATTCTGTTATTTCAGGCTTATTTCTTGTTACGCTAAATTCATATTCTTCTGAAATTAAGTTTATTTGTTTATTTGGTTCTATTATTTTATTAATATCTTTACATTCTTTATGAACTTCAATATATGGTTTATTGGAATAAATATTCTCATAACTAGAATTAGTAAATGTATATAAAACTCTATATTCTATAGTCATGATTTGATCACCTGATTGCATGATGTCATCTCTATGAAACTTAAAATGTAGTCCTAAAACTTCATTAAAGTTTATATCTTTTAATGATACACAATATTTTGGATAACATATAAACATAATTTTTTGATATGCTAAATTTCCTTCTATTATTCCTATATGACTATCTTTTAAATTTATTATTCTTCCATCATGTAAAGTTATAGTTAAAGGTGAGTCTATCCCTTCTCTGAATAGTAATTTAAATATTATTTGTATTCCTGCTAAATAAATATATTGGATTTTTCACTTTGTTTTTTTACTTATCTTTATTAGTAGTTTTTCAACTGTATTTTTTGTTAAAAGATTTAATTTATGTTGCCTATAAGTTGTTCTTATATCTATGATTTTTTCTATTTTGTGATATTCATTTATTGCTATTCTTTCTCTTTTCTAAATTCTATCAAAAACTTTCCATTTTCCTATTTTTAAGTCTAAAGATAATTTTTGCAATTTTCTAAACTTATTATTATCAAAAGTGACTTTTAATCCATATCTTTCTATTCCTTCATATTCTTGTATATTTATATTATTACATTCTATTTCTTCAATTTCTCTATTCAGATCATGATTCTCTATTTCACTTATATATACTTTTTGATTATAGTATTCTTCAATATATAATACTTCACTTAATTTATCTTTTATTTCTAAATATTCTTTTTGTAATATTCTAACTTTTTTTTATCACAATCAGGGCTTATATAATCTTTTCTCCACAATTCCAACATTAACATTGGCTTTTATTTTTCTTTTTATTCTTCTGTTGATTATATGAGTTATTTTTTCATTTGTAATATCTTCTTCTAGATTTTATATTTTTTTATTAAAATTCCTAAAATTTTTAAATATTTTATTTTTATACTCTCTTTTATTAATTCTTCTTTCAGGATTACATCCCCATTGCACATGGGTTTCCATATTTTCACAATATATTTTAGTTAATTTTCCTGATTTTTTTATTAATTGTCTTTGTTGACATATATATGCAAGTCTTTCAAATAAAAAATTAATTCTTAAACCTAAAGGTCTAGGTATTCCAATATTATCTTTAACATATTTTTCAAATTCTATTTTAAAATATAATCCCCATGAACCTGGTAACTTATCATAGTATATGTCTTGGTATACTTTTTCATTTTCATTACTATAAAATTGAACAAAACTGTAATTTTTAAATTTGCAATTATATTCTTTAATTTCACACATATCACATATTATTAAATTTATTAATTTTATTCTAGCATTATTTTTTTCTCTTATTGATTCTCTTTCAGCATTTCTTATCCAATTTTCTCCTAAAAATTCATCTGAAATATATTCTACTAACTTCTCTATCTGAATTTATTATTTCTATTTGTACATTTCTTTTTATTAATGTTTTTATATCATTGCTTATTCCTTCCCACCAATTTCTAACATCTCTTTCAAAGGATGCTATTAATAAATTTATTATTCTTTCAGTATTTTTCCATGTGTCATTTTTATTATATAAAAAGAATAATATCATTGAATCTATCTAAGTTAATAAGGGTTTTTTTAGTATCTATTTTACAATTTAAATCTAATTTTGTTCCTCCATAATTAATTGGTTTATCATAATTATCATTTAATTCAAACCTATCTTTATATTTATTTCCTTTAGATAGTTGTCTATCTCTTACTTTATCATAGAATTGTTCATATGTTTTATTATATATAAGTGCATAACTTTCATCCGTATCATGTAATTCCTGTTTAGAAGTTCCTGCTGGATTAGGTCCTCCTCTAGTATTCATTAAAACTTGGTATTCACTTATATCAGTTAAACTTAATTGATCAAAATTTTCTATTAGTAAAAATCTAATTCTTCATTCATTTTTATCTTCTTTTTCTTTTACTTTTAATTTTCCTAATAATTTTTCTCTAGATTCTTCTTCATCTTTTAATATTTTTGGTAATATATTCTTTCTAAATTCATCATCCATACTTCTTGTTTCTATTACTATATTCTCTTTTTCTATATGTCTCTTTCCTATTTGAGTCATTTCTTTTTCTATAAATTTTTTAAAATTTATTTTCTTATCTTTATTTTTATTATTATTTTTTAATTCTCTAATTTCAATTTTTAATATATTTATATCATTTCTTATTTCTTTTACTTCATTTCTTAAATCTTGTACATCATTTATTAACATTTTTATTAATGATTTTAATTCTTCCATATATTCACTTATTAACATCTTAATTTTTTCTTATTTCTAATTCATAGGTTAATTTTCATCTTTTATCTTCCTTTTTATCTATTATTTTTCCAAATCTTATCTCAACTGTATCTGGATCTACTAATTCTTCTTTTACTATAGTAAAATATCTACTCTCAAGTATTAATCTTTCACATTTTAATTTTATTAATTGTCTATTATTTGATATTCTCATTCTTTTTGGTATTAACATTATATTTCGTATTTCCTCTTGTATTTTTTCCATTTTTATAAGTAATTTATTCAATTTTAAATGTGTATTATCACTTGCACTAATACTTTTCTTTGTAATATAAATTATTTTCTTCATCTTCATAAATATTAATAATTTTTTCATATGTATATATATCATTTATTTTTTCTATTATTAATTTTTCTAATATTTGTTCCTTTATTTCTCCAGGTAACTCTTTAATTATTGTTAGTGCCATTATTTTTAATCCATTATGAATAGGTTTTAAAAATATATAACTACCTCTCTCTTCTTCTAAACGCCAATAATTATCTATTTTTCTTATTTTAATTTCCATGATCTCTATGCTTTTATCAAGATGTGAATATTTGTGTACTATAATTAATTATTATTTTAAAGATGTATAATCTAAATATTCCTTTAATTTTCTAATAGTTAATCTGTTATTTATTAAACTTATATAAAATCTAAGTGTTAATCTAAATCTAAAATTTTTACTTCTTCAAGTAATATATTTTTTTTATAGGTTTTCTCATGATCTCTATTGCTCTAATACCAATAGGGCGTGGCTACTTAGAGCGAACAAAAATCAAATAAATCAAATTAAAAGTATTAATCAAATAAATCAAATAAAAACTATCAAATTTCAACAAATATTTAATTTTAAGGACTAAAAATAGAGGATTTCTATATTATAGTGTCTTATTATGTAATATCTGAATGGAGGGCATTTTTGGTATGTAAACTATCCAAAGGTCATTTTGGAAAAGTGGCCATTTTCTAAAAGCTATTTCCATGTATTTCCCCTTAAACCATGGGAATTGCAATTCCTTAAAAAGATGGAAAACCTGGTCATGTGAGTAGGGATGGCAACGGTTCGGTTCGGGGTCGGTTCGTCCAAAACCATCATCGAACCATCAATTTTTTGGTCATACCATAACCGCACCATAACCACGAAAGTCGGTTCGGTTCGGTTTCGATTCGTATCTCGGTTCGGCTCGGTTCGGGTCGTTAATAACCACGAAAATAAATTATTTTTAATTGGTCCATCCGTCGAATTAAAATGAAAACAAAAACATGATGCTAAGTTAATGTAACGAACAACAATACATCCCAAATGAAAATGCAAAAAAATCCCAATTCTCAAACACAAAATCCAAATTTAACAAACAATATTCAATAACTCAAAAAGCTTCAACTTCAATTCATATTCAATCTTCATTCGTCTCCACAACTCTTACTGGCATCCGTCAAAACTCAAAGTCGATTCCTATATAGTATATAAGAAATGTAAGTAGAGTAATAAATCAATAATCCATAATGTTTTTAACTAAATATTTAAACAAAAAAATATTCGTCAACATCCTCGTCATCAAACTTTGCACAAGCTCCGGAATATGATGAAGGACCAGAATTTTCTACACACAAAAGAGGAAAAAATTAGCAATAAAAGAAAGTGCATAAATAACAAACATAAAACAATACATCCTACCATGAATATCAGACCAAAGCCAATCTCGAGCACACATTAAAAAGTTCTTTGTAAAGCAAAGCAGTATGAATCATTAGATACGTAGAGTTCCATCGAGTCTTGCAATCTAATAATAACTTTTTTCCACAAGGGATTTTCATTTGTCGTGCAACTGCCTCAAAAGTTTCAACTCTTTTTGGTGTTGCTGACCAATATGAAACACTATCGCGAATTCTCTCAACACTCGGGCTAATGACATCCAAACCATCCTTTACTATCAGGTTCGATATGTGTGTACAACACTGCAAGTGGAAAAATTCACCATTCAACAGCAAAGAACCAAGAGAAATCTTATCTAACATAATGTTTATCATAGCGTAATTCATGGTGCAATTATCAGCAGTCAATGTGGACAATTTCTGATCAATATTCCAATCAAATAGACAATCCATTAACACAGTAGACAGTGACTCAGCAGTGTGGGGACAAGGGACATATATAAATCTGTATGGATATGAAAAAAAGTTCGTAAGATAACTTAAAATTTCAGAAAATACGATAGTAGCTTAAAGTCTATTTTATAAAACTATTGTACCTCAAAATTCGGCTCTGAAGCCTCCAAGAATCATCTATGTAATGTGCAGTGATAGCCATAAATCCCTTCTTTTGATTGGATGTCCACATATCAGTGGTGACTGCTATTCTACTATTGGTCCTCTCTAACAAGCCCATTACTTTTGTTCTCTCATAATCATAAACTTTCAAGATATCAGCCTTGATGGTATTACGAGAAACAACTTTAAATAATGGTTGAATTGTATTACAAAACTTTCTAAACCCAGTATGCTCAACCATTGACAGAGGATATTCGTGTAGGATGATCATATTTGCAAGTTCTGTCCTACCTTTCTCTTGATCAAAATCAAATGCTCCCATTGCAATCCTACCACTAGGTTCTTTAAATTGATTCAAAAACATCTGTTTGACATCCTTCTGACCTCGAAGAGGACATCTATTTAAATGAGCATGTAAATGACTTGTCCCATTTTTCGTGTGTGCGTCTGTGCGTGTGTGTGTTTATATCCAATATTATTAAGAATTCAATTGCATTACAAGGCAAAAATACATGCAGAATTAGGGGAATAAGGATTGAATTCGTGACATATTAATTAAATCTTGAATGTCAGGAACATATAGTTGCCTTAATTCTTTAATCAGTCCAAAGTTGCAATGCCTTTGTCTACATTAACAAAAGCATTTCTGACTTTTCAACCAAATGATATAATGGCTAAAATTACATAGATAAAATGCAACAGAAACTAGTTAACTACTTAGAAAACAAAGCCTAACTTCTTTCAATCATTTCATCAAACACTTTCTTTGCAAAACCCATTTTCCCTAATGTCCCATAATACTAATGCAATGAATTAAATCCATACTTCAACATGGGCGTGCACTTTAGTTCCTTCAAATATAGAAAAACTCAAATACAGCGAAAGCAGAAGAAGATGATTCGGTATTTCATTTACCTCAAATAGTGGTCGGACTGTCGGACTGTCGGACTGTCGGAGGCAGGAGCAATGAAGCTCGTGGCTGTGTGCGTTGAACCGGTGATGTCGTGAAGTTAAGTAGTTAACTGTCTGGACTCTGGAGGCAGTGAGGCGTCAGGCGTGGAGGCTAGAGCTGTGGTTGCCGGCTGCGTGAGTGTGGTTTGTGTTTGTCTGTTTGATTTCACTGATTTGTGAAGTAAGGGTAAGGAGTAGGGTTACAATCACACTCTCATAAGTCATATAGGCCGAACCCGATTCTATAATTTCTTATGGGTTATGGTAACTGGGCTGTGGGGAGTTGGGCTGGACGACTGGTATAGTGAATGTATTGGGCTGGGCAGAATTTTATTTTGGGCTGGATAAAAATAGTGGAAATCCAATAATTATTATTAATTTTTTTTTACGGGTAATCGGTTCGGTTTCGGGGCAAAGGTGTAAATACCATACCCGCCCCATTGCACCATCGGTTCGGTTTTTTTCGCCCCATTCGATTCGGTTAACCACGATTTTCGGTTTTGACAGTTCGAATTGCCATCCCTACATGTGAGGATAAATGTAAAAAACGAATTGCCAGGAAAATCTTGCTAATCAAACATGAAAAAAGTTGGAAAGTGGAAAAAAAATTTCATTTTCCATGGAAAATTTATCTAATCAAATGGGGCCTAAATGTCTTGCTAAATTGTTAAGAATTTATGTGATTATCATGAATGAATAAGTATATGTTCTTTGCATAGCAAAGAACATATAATAATATAGCAAAGCATGGATAAGAAAATTGTAAATTTATAAATATATGTTTCTTTTTAATATTGAAAGTTAAGAAATTGAAAATTTTATGATATTATATGATTTTAGACTAATGATTTTGTTAGAAAAGTTTTCAACCCATGAGAATAGTTGACCTTAGAATATCTCTTGAATAATAATAATAATAATAATAATAATAATAATAATAATAATAATTGCCTTTAATTACTTCCATCCATTTTATCGTTTGAGTTTTCTTGGTTTGGGTATTCATAAAAATTAAAGGGCTTTGTACAAAAGACCAAAACTGTCTAAGACAAGCTTGAAATTTAAGTGGTCCGTTGTGACTCTCCTCCTTCCTTGGAAGCCATTCATTTAAGCGATATTTTAAATTAATAGAATGAAAAATAATATTACAACTCCATCTTTATAAAACTTATTTTCAGAAACTCTTGAAAACATTCCACTTTAAAAATCATATGTTTCAAGAAATTCCTATCTTATGAAACTCCTATTGTTAAAAAACCCGTCAAATATATATACATTTTTAGAAACTTCCATTTTAGGAGAACTTCAAAACTTCTAAATTGAGTAAATTTATTCCCTTGAAATCCTGAATACAAATATTGATATTAAGTAAGACTTTTGTGCCTTTCGTAGATGACTAGAGGTCCAACCCAGACAAGAAGAGAGATGATTAAGAAACAGAATCGATAAAGGCTCTTGCACCTCCTTAGGTTTTATACATGGAGCCCAAGCCACAACCTCGTTAGGTTTTATACATGAAGCCCAAGCCCAAAGAAAACTTCAAAACTTCTAAATTGAGTAAGTTTGGAAGTATTGAGTCCATTTACCGAGGGCCTCAACTAAATGGACACGAGTTTAGCATAGATGAGGCATTTTTTCCTCTACTTAGAACCCTTACCAGATATTGAAAAGACTTCGCGGAATGACTCGATGAAATGTATGACCGATAAACACCTTATTAAGAGCTATAGAGAAAGATGGAAGATCGATAGTGAGGATTATAAATTTATTGAGAGGCCTGAAGGGTACGCGTTAGCCTCGTATCATGTGACGCCCCGAACTTACGCTTCGAGGGTCACGTACTAAACATAATAGCTTCTACCTTTGGTACATGTAAATACTCTTAAATAGAAGTATTACATGTGAAAAACTTATTTTCAACTTGGTAAAATAATTCTTATAAAATTTGATGGCCGATAGAAGTGCATGTCGACAAGGAATTATGCTTTACATATACGGCCTCGGCACTGTCAAGATTAGTTGAGGCAGCAAGTTTGACAATTTTTATAAGATTCATCCCAACTCCGTTTTCTATGAAATTTGCGGCATTAGAAAGATAATTTCAAGTAGTTTTCTAGGTTAAAATATGAAAATTTTCCAAGATCATATGATATAGACGTTTTACTGAAAACAGTGAAGTATTACACAGGAAATCCAGATTGACCTTTAGACGTTAAAACCTTGATAAATCAGGCCATAGATATAAAAATTGAATGATTCCTATGGCCATATTTAGAAAACTCAAAGAAAAAAACAGACATATTTTTAGAATCTCAAATGGACGTTTATAGAGTTAGAAACATCGTTTTGAAATTGACTCCAGAAACTGTCCCGTTTCTGCCTTTTGTCTCTTGTAAGAAAAATAAACTACAAAAATGTCTCTTAACATAACATGAAAGATATAATTAAAAAATTTACTATTAATACCATATTTCATCATGTCATGTACATATTTTTGCATAATACCATAAGAAAAATAGATGGAAAAACTGTCATCGAACAAAACACACAAAAGAAAACTTTCGGTACAAAACTTCATTGTCCTTAATCCATCATCGCTTAAGCCAACTAATTTCCATCAATCCAAACGATCATGGATCTGAAAATTTAGCATAACATACTATGAGTATAAGAAATACTCAGTAAGATACCATGCTTGGATTTTTATCATGATAATACCACACAAAAGAATACAATCAAACTCATACTTGCATATTCCGACTTGCCGGTGCCCTTCGGACTTGTTCTAAAGCATAAATAGATATCTAACTTTGTGGACTTGTCCACCATAATCATATTATGGTTTTTCATTCATAGCTTAAGCATAAATATTACCATGAAAATCATAACTCTTAAGCATGGAAAGTATCTTACCGTAAAACTTGAAGATCTTCGGTTGAGATGTAAATTAGAAGTGCTAGTCTTACTTCCTTCCCTTTCCTTTCTTATTTTCGGTTTTTGCTCTCTTTTTAAGTGTATAAGTGTTTTGTAAAATGAAGGAAATCTTTCTATGGCAATGGATATGGATGTATTTATATATATATAAAGATAAGGATAAATGGTTGATATTTTTTTCCTCCCTCTTCCATCTCCACCGCCTCACCTCTCTTTCTTTACATTTTTTTTCTTACTTGTACACATGTTTAGTCTATTATCTAAGTGTATGGTGATGATGGATGACAAGTGGGTTGATTATAGGGTAATAAGTGGCCTTAAAACCTAGATTTACAAAGGAAACCTCTCATTTTTTTCAACTAATATAATCTAAACCCGCTAACTTTCATTGTTAACAAAGTGTACCCCAAATTTAAACTTGTACCCAACTTACATATTCAAAAATTGTAGATTGTAAAATAATTTAATCATTTGGTCAATTGAAGCCCTAACAAAATAATCCACTTCATTTAAATCCAAACTTGCCTTAAGTTTCGACTAATTATTAATCACTTCATGTATACACAACCTTTGACTCTTCATGCCTACATTCATTAACTACCTCTAACATTAACCACTACAAAGGTGGTGTCCCCTTTTACCTTATGGCCAAAAATAGTGTTGAAAGTTAAATCTCTATCCCAAAGAAATTTAAACGAGCATAAAATTTCGTAGTATTACATATCATGCCTAATGGGAGCAGTCATGAGGAAATATCAGAGGTAGACAGTGAGGGCAACATAACAGAGTATGTGCCCAAAGACCCTAGGAAGGAAGAAGACGCTTTGGAGGACCCAAAACCAAGCCTTGATGAGAGCACTGGGAAAAATACTAGATTATAGTCTTATGTTTAGATTCTTGCTCTAGTATATGATTTTCTATGTTTGCATGGACGCTTGGTATATTTTGTGATCTTTTTTCCTAGTAGATTTTCCTTTTGCTTGGACATTGGGCATACCCTACGTACCTTTATGAAATTATGAAAATTCTATGAATAAAATACCCTAGTTTTTCCTTTCAGCCTATTACTTATTGCAATATTGTTTGTTAAGGGTATGACATCCTGAGGTAGGAGAGCAAACAATCTCAACTGCCCCTGTAACACCAACCTAATGGCATTGACCCACAATTTGCCCAACAATTTCTCACTATGATTTGCACATTCGTCCAAGAGACGAAGATGTCGCAACAAGCACCACCACCACTACCATCACCAGCACCAATGGTGACAGAGGACACCAGGAATACTATTGCTATTATGGTAGAACTTTTCAGGAAACAACAACTCCCAACCTTTGAGGCTGGTATAGATCCATTGGAAGCAAAGGATTGGTTGTAGTGCAGGCCCTGAAAATTTGGAGGCCCTAAGTGATAAATTATTTTGAGTCCCTATATTGTCTTTACACATATAACAATATTTTAATAAAAAGATATATCTATATTGAAATGAAAATTTCGTACAATCTAAAAGATAGAATTGCAAAATAAAATATCACTTACAACCCGAG